TGACAATCGTCGTCTGCATCAAATCCTCCACGTTCATCGGTGATGCTACCCAGATACGTGAAACTTTCCACTTCTTCCACAGCTGCTCCATCCATTGTGATTAGTTTGGTGTTGTATTTGCGGATCTTGCTTCTTCTCTTATTTATATCGAGGCCTACTGATGCGAAGGCTGCTGTCACACCAGTTGTCAAACTATACGTTCTAACATTGACGAATATTCGTATGAGTTCATCTGCACTTCTTGATGCGTCTTGGACATAAGGGTCAGTTTATCTGACAAGTTCAAAACCTCTAGTTCCATCTAACTTGTCCGTTTTATTCAGAAGGCAGCCTTGTCTGATTCATCTCTTTACTGAGAAAGCGTCTGCCAACTGTCCTCCATCCACCAATTTGCACCACAGTCCGTCGTATGAATTACGCATCATGTTGACGGTTTTCTCAGATACTCACACTATAGTGTCGAAGAAGTTTTCATAATGTTCTTCTATACACAATGTCAAACGCCTTCTCATAGTCAATAAAGTTGATGTTTGGTGGCAAATTCCATTGAATTGATTGTTCAACAATCATCCGTAGTGTCTCAATTTGTTCTGTGCACAGCATTCTTTACGGAATCCAAACTGTTGATCTCACAGCTGAACGTTTTTTGAGTTTTTCAATCTGTTGAGCGACACCCCGTTATAATTGTTGTTATTATGTAGTGTGATGCCTGTGTATTTGTCGCATTTGCTCAGATCTCGTTCCTTTAGTACATTGATGAGGTATCTCCCCTTCCAATCTGACAGTGGCACTTGCTCTTACTGCACATTTCTCCTGTATAGAACGTGGAGCATACTTGCAATTACTTCTGTGTCTGATTGGAAAGCTTCAGCTGGTATATTATCAGGTACTACTGCTCTCCCACGCTTACATTGTCAAATGACCATCCGCATTTCTTCCATCGTTGACGGAGTGACATCAATAGGTGGTTCTGTGTATGTTGTTTCGATATCCGGTGGGTTCGGTGGAACTGTTCTATTTAGGAGATCCTCGGATTGTCTTCAACCCATCTGTACCTATGTCCTTAAATTTCAGTAGTCATCTTGTCTTCTCTGTCCTTAACCGGTCCCTATGGTTTACTATATTTCCCTGCTAGATTCTCCTACGTGTCATATGGTTGTTTCATATTTCCTTCTCTTGCAGCCTCTCCACTGTCGTTCCTAGCTCTTCCACATATTTCTGCTTGTCACCTCAATGACTCTTCCTCACTTGCTCCTTTGCTTCTGTGTACTCACCTTGTGCTTTGACTTTTTTCGTTCATCTTGTGCTGTAGTTGATTGCTGTCTTCTTGTTCCTCCTTTCGTACATCTTATATAGGGTTTCGATAAAGATCCATTTCTTGTGGTAATACTTCTTATGATCCGGAACCCCCTGAGACGTTTGAGTTAGTGCTTGTTTGACCCCTTTCTGTTTGTACTCCATAGTAGTGTCTTCGTATCTCAGTAGATCCTGCAATGCGTGGAACCTGTTATTGAGAGTCATCTTGAATTCGTTGAGATTGTCAGTATGTCGAAGGAATATTTTATTGCACCTTTGAAGTGCTGTTTGTCCAGTTGTCAAATGTATATTTAGCTTCAGTTTCACCTCGTCAATCATCAGTGTTCTGAAGCTATGTCACTTCCTCTCCAAATTCTCACATCCTCTATTGCCCTTCTGAATATGTTACCAATGTAAATAAGATTGACCTGGTTCCACATGGTGTGATTCGGTGATACTCATGTAGTTGTGTGCATGCGTTTGTGTGGAAATGTTGTAACACTTGTAATCAATTTGCTGAATGCACATAGATTTTTAAATCTCTCAACATTTCATTAATTTTAACACAAACATTGCTACAAGGAGGCAACAAATATGTATGTGTGAATGCGAGGGTTTTGCGCAGGTGCTAAAACAAAAGCAGATAGTTGTCTCAGGTTAATACGCTCAGAGCCTTTGACCTATAAGTTTGATCCACTGGATGGTGGAACAACGTAAAGAGAAGCAGTCCCATGGAAGCCGGTGACTAAAGATAGGTTATTACTTAAAGATTCATTCCGAAGGTTTTGTTTGTAGAAATCCCTTCATGCATACCTTTGCAACTTGTTCTCAATGGTTTCTTTGCTTGTATAATATTTTTAGTCTTCTTGATGCTTTTGGGATTGTTATGTCTCATTTCACGATAGTTTGCTCATTTTTCTGTCGCTTTCACGGAGTTTGTATTTTCACTTATTGAACTGTATCTGTGTTGTTTTAATTGATTTTATTCTGGCGGCTGCAATATTGATTGTTTCCCCTTTGATTGTGTTGTTTGAATTGACATGACGCCAGTAGCCTTATAAAAGCTACAGGTATATTTACTAGAGTTTAACCCCTGTATCTAAAGACATGGTGGATAACTCAGTAATGATTGGTGTTTTTCTATTGTCACATCTTATGAGGATGCAGTGTATAATCATTCATCCCTAGTTCTATTTCTTGTATAGTAGGGAAATTGTTCCTTGGTAACATCTTATAATTTAAAAAGCGTAGATTGATTTGTATAACCGTAAACACAATACGATTACCCATAAACTATTACGATAGATTGATTATTTGCCTGTTTCCTATGATGAATTCGATAATGGATCATTGTACATTTCATAAGTGTCACAAATTCAGTTCCCTAGATTTCCTACCACATTCGGTGATGTCATGTTATCCGATATATTGTTAACGAAAGCTAGTTGTCCTCAGTTTTGATGTATTGACAGTTGATGGTCTCCTTGGCATGGGTTTTCGGACATACTGTACCGGTATCCCTTATGCGCAACTATTGATGGGCTGATAACCATTGTAACGAGAGCGTTAAGGTACTTACTAGTTAGTTAGTTAGTTTACTATTTGTATCTTCAGTCACTTATTTGTCGCCGAGTTTTAGTGTTTCTGTCTTGGATTTCGTAGGAAGGGGGACAATATGTATTTTTATTTCAACAACGTGTATTACCGCAAATTTTTATGTGGCTAAGTTCGCGTCTTCCACTTTTGATCTGCTCCGTGCTAGACCATGCATATGCATTTGCACATTATGTTCAGCGATAAGGAGTTCCTCTCCGTTACTTCATTTCAGCCATATCAAAGCTCTAATTTTTTCGTTGTTGTTCGTTTTTTGTCTCTTTTAGCTGCTTTTCAGCTAGTTAAGGTGCAACGGATATTCAGAGTTTGGTAAAGCCTTTGTTCCTAACACCTAGGCAATACCTAATCAAGGGATATCAATCCAGTCAAATCATAAGTCAAGAACGTTCGGGTTCGAAGGTATACTTGAAAGTGTCGTCGAAGTGTTGAGTTGGATAGTAGATGCAATGGATGAGTAGAATGGCGCACTCACTGGTGATCTGGTGTAAATGATTGTTCGAGCGCTTCATGCTAGGGTGTGTTCTGTAGAACTACGGTCAGTATCAGTACTGAACCATTGATAGGCTATTTACTTCGGTGATCGTTTCACCACTACATTGTAGTAGTGGTCATTATATTATTGTTTCTGATTTTTTGCAGCATGCCTTCATCGGATGGTATTTGCACTTATCTTATTAGTGATCTCATCAAATATATACGTCATTTCATGACCATTTTCTATATCATATATGATATTCAAACCGAATGTTGATTCCTAGGTTGGGATGTTGAACAACGGGGTAGTATTATAATAGTTGGCTGACGCATTTTAACTAACTACATTTTCTTAATACTGTCATCTGAGCTGCTGGATCCAAATCACCTAGTGCCATTGCAGGTCATTCCTCCCACTGCTAGTATATCGTCTGGCTCAGTAACGTGTCTAAAAAACAGAACTATGCAGACTATTGTAGATGGTCAATACAAGGCTACCTCACAAAAAGTATGCTAGATAAGTTAGTTATGAGAGGCATCACTATTTGAAACAGTAACAGTGAGAGTTGTACTAGTTAGAAGATTGTTTAATTCTTAACACGAGAAAAAGCAAAAATTTCAAACCGATCGCAGTATATTACGATAATATCGCTTACCATTTTAGTCGATCATAAGCGTGACTTACTGCCGATCACAGGAGTGTGATACCAAAATTTTTCGAATCCACTTGAAGTTCACCGTTAGGCAACATACATTCATCATCAATAAAACTCGTGAGCGATTTTACAAGGTATTATTCATCATATATACTCAACAATTAAACAACGTGATCCGGTAGTTGTGCAGAAATAATTCTGCAATTATGAGACGAATGACAGAAATATCTCTCAAGCAACGGAACAGAAAGTCGTGTTATTTATTCATTATAAAGCACCCAGATAGTAAATAAAATCACGTTAGCTGGTCAAGTCACACGGGAAAATTAACTTCAAAGAATGTCAACGTATTTAAGTTTGTGGGTTCAATTTTGTTCAAACTGCATTACGCTAACTACTGACTGGTGACTCGCACATAACATTGATACCTTTATGAAATATATTCATCGTAAAATCTACATTATCATCTGGTACTATTTGATAGATGTGACAGCTTTCTTAGGTTAACCAGGGTCTTCGTAATAACATTCTCTCACATTGGTAATAATCACTTTAGTCTTATGTGATTTTCTTGGACATTTGTTCATTTTTGTGCATATCACATTCATGTGCTTCGATTCTTCGATTCAATAAACATACAAATAATAAATTTAAACTATTTTCAATTTCTTTTTCTATGCATAAACAATCATAAATTTGAAATAAATATTTTCATCTTGTCAATAACGGACATTAATTTGTCAGCGTTGATTCATGAGTCAATTCTGTTCGGTAGTACAGTACAATTTGAGCAAATAATTAACTGAAAGACACATAAGTGATAGTCAACAGATTTTTTAGTGTAAATATATGTTCCTAACTATGTGTTAATATTGGACAGAATATTGTGAGGCACCAAAAATGAAGCTGGAAAAAAGAATCCAAAGTGATATGTAGTCTGTTGAAATAATCTCACTTGTGTCAGTTGGACCAAGTTATGTTTATTCTTGGTCTAAACTTGTAAGCAGGTACAATGGATAATTCGTTTTCCATATACATTTGGTTGTTATTTTCTTTCTTTTTACTTGATTGGTTTAATTTTACTGACGCTAAACCGTTCCCATGATTTTTGAAGGTATCTACTATATCACCATACTTTAAATGCACTTTCTTATCTGGTATAATCACATCAAATTTAAGTCTTTTATAATCTTCTTCATGGAATGCAAAATCGATGGAATGACATAATTGCGTTGCATCACCCAACTCCATATGACGCGTTTGCATTAACTCATAGGCTAAACGACAAATCTAAGAAAAATACAAAATGAATAATCATTATATATGGATTGTGAGAATATTTAATGAGATTATTTAGAGATTACCATCAAATTTTGATGATGAATCTCAACCGCTGTTCTTTCAAGGCTTAGGATTTTGAGTGAAATTGTATAACCGTTGACTCAAATGTAAACAGATTCATTTTGGGGTTGTAGGGATTGTTGAACATCTTTAAAATCATGAACCTATCTACGTTTGACCTCCACAGAAAACCTGGGAGCACTGGACGGCTGTGTTGTCGTATTATCAGACTCACCGGCAGTGAGCACCCTAGATTATGCACGCAGGATGCGAACAAAGGACTACCGGTGCTCACTAGTGACTAGTTTGGAGAAATACCACATGCAAGACAGCTTGACCACTAGTGAAACATTGCAACCAAAATTCCAGATATCTATAATAAAAGCTTATAATTGTTTCTCGACTCAAATTTTCAAACATGGGGATGTATCTACTTCGTTCTTTATGAATAGATACAGGAACGCTCCAAACATTATTCGCTTACTACTTCAAATTGTAATCATATATTAATCATAATAACCAGATTGTAATGAATAGTACGGCATTCGGAAAAAGAAATTCATGATGATAATTTATTGAATTCAAACCATAAGTTATACTGACAATATTTCAAGCAGACAAAGACTGTACGCCTTATTGTAGATTATTTTAAACCTAATAGTAGTTTCACTTTAATCCTGTGATTTTACATTCACATTCACGAGGACATTTTTCACAGAGAGCTAAGAGATATACACTTAGGGTATCAAATGCTGGTAATGGAAATCATCCAATCGACTAGCAAAATACTTCTGTATTTCTCGATCATTATTGATGAATGATTCTCAATCTTGTGGTAATCATCACTGCACCTCTGTACAATGAACGTGAACTGTTTATTCAACGTTGTTTGTTTTATTCAAATGTCAGTTGAAACAAACAACGTAATATTGGAGATAAAAGTCAAACTATATTACTTACATTCGATGAAAATGTACACACCAGGAAATCCGTCATTGAAAGTGCAATGACATCAACGATTGCATTATTCATTGAATTATATGTCATTCGGAATTCCACATCAGCTGAATGGGATCTATCTGGACTACCATAAAGAATGTAGTTGGGATGGCTGTACGAAAATTGAGTAAAAACATTGGGATCATCTGTCGCCAAATAAACACTTTGTTTAGCTCGAAGAGTGTTTTTTCTTCCAATGCTTTTTTCGGAAATCGATCCCAATTTCTCCTCATTTAGGTCCTATTAGTTGGGAAAATGACAAAGCAGATTCCTTCTCTATAATGATAATGATAAAGTGGTCGGTCTAAATTCGACGTGATAAAATTATATATAATATAACATGGGAAACATTTTTGTTCTCAAAATGCGCAGTTTCTACTCATTGAAAAAGAATTCTAAAGACTGAACTTGATGTATATTCTTTGTAAAATGAAAACTCCGTAGTTTGCATCATAGGCCACATTTTGTTGAATAGCAGTGGAAAACGTGGATGTATGGGGGGCGCATATTTCGTCCTATTAAAGGACTATATTGCAATCCACACCAATAACTCCCTTAAAGAATACACTGAGTAAATTTGACAATCGCTAAGATGTGCATAGCCTTTAAGATAGTGAGCTGGAATTGATTCCCAAAAGAAACATGTCAACTACTCTCTGGTTTTTAACTGTTGTCAACCTTAGATTAAACTGTGGTGTAAACAAAGAAACTCTACAGCTTCTAATTTACAATTGTAAGTAAATTTTCCACAGCTATTTGCCAAACATGTTTACTAACAAATTGTTATCAAATAATCTTTAACAACATTTCGTTGAATCACTATTATTTCTCATTGAACTAACAACAATAACGTTGAATCGTTGTATGTTGAAATCCTGAAAAACTTTCAGAATAACATAAGCGCTTCATGACACGTTTTCTACGTTTCCTTCACACTATAACAAATAAGCATAAATGCAAAATTACATTACTCAAGGAGTCAGAATAAAGTAATATAGTAATTTTCGCATTTGTTAAACCATAATTTAAAAAACGTGCAGGCGACTGACAAATTTACATCATCGTGCCTCTCTCGTTTAGAATGGTGATTGATTTTCAAATGATTCAAGTTTTCGTGTACTGCATTTTATTGATAATTGTACTGGGGAGTTGAGCACATTACAATACATTCATAAGAAAACATAATATAGCTTGCCTGAATAAGTTTATTTAAATAATGTTGAATTTTGTAAAGTGAATTGGTCACCAAGGAGAAAGATAAACGCTTTCATACCTTGATTGATACTAGTAACCATCTCTCCACCAATTCGCTTTACAGAGTCATCCATGAAATTCCATCGCTCTTGACCTATGCTTCCAAAATCTGTTCCTTTCATACCACGGAAAGCATGGAAACATATATCAACAAGTTCAATGATTGTGCGCAGGAAACGTATTCAACGACCTTGGTTTTTTACTTCACTATTTGTGTATTTATATTTCCTGCAGCTGTAATCAGTTTTTATCTCATACATTCCCATCGTCCAACTTGGACGCCTCAGAATAGCTAGCTTATGAGCCTCTGGTCACAAGTCTTTCTCGCGTTCGCTGACTAAGTGAATTCGAAACGCTTCAGAGTTAACTTCATAATCGAACTTCCATTTTTAAATATGTTCTTCAAGCACACATAATGAAGGATTGAATTGCGGTCAACTGATTAAGGAAGTACAATTTACTGAAAGATCACACTATCAGTTGATTGTAAATAACTGAGCTAATCTTAATGACTTACATGTCTCTTTGACATTACCAGGTGATTAGCATTTTGTCGATCAAAGAATTTATCCACTTGCTCCATGTACTCTGATAAGTTGTGAAACTTAGCCTCCAGAATTATCTAGAAAAAAAGTACAAGCGCAAGATGTGATCATTAGAATTTATCATGATGTTCATCTTTTTCGAAATGATGGTATCCGTGATGACGAAAATTTGATCTGTTTAAAAGTGGTAGGGTTTACTAAACAGACAATATATTCATCATAATCTAGCAGAATTTATTGCAAAGTACTTACAAATTGATCACCGCCATTTCGGTCATTATAAACTTCTTGTTTGAAGTAGAAAAAAACTGCCGATAGAATTAGCAAAGAAAATCTTGGAACTTATTATACAGGATGACAAACCACACTGGTTGAATACTCACCTATAGCAACAACAGCGCATTGATGCAAAGAATATATCTTATATGAACACTACTCAAAAGGACAAAGACATTGAAGCAATACAGGGAAATGAAAATGTATGCGTTTTGAAACAATGGTCAGACGCTGAACATCATCAAGAAATGTCTGTTAAACAAACCGTCAAATATAAAATCAACATTCGTTCATTCTTCTCATGTGATATTCATTCCTTGACGTAACGGCCTACATGATTACTTGCCATTTGACGCAGTTGAGAGCTTTCATCAATGTGTTTTATCCACTTCCAGCACTTCCTCCCGATTTCTTCCTTCGTTGGAATCTGGTTTGTTCTCTCACACAGTAGAATGTTGGTGATAGTGTCTGGTCAACGGATCCGAAGTATCTTGCTTAGACAACTGTTAATAAACACCTGTTTATTCGGGATGATGGCTTTCGTATTTCTCCACATCTCCGCCACATACATTACAACTGTCTTGACATTTGTATTGAAAATTCTGATCTTGGTGTTGGTTGACAACTGTTTCGAGTTCCAGATGTTCTTCAGTTGTAAATAAGCTGCTCTTGTTTCGCCGATCTGCACATTCACATCCACATCAGATCCACCGTGTTCACCAATGATGCTGCCTAGATATGTGAGGAATTTTACTTCCTCCAACGCTCCTTCGTCGAGTGTGATTCGATTGATGTATGTTGTGTTGTACCGAAGCATCTTCCTTTTCCTTCTGTGTGTGTTGAGACTCACTGCTGCTGAAAGGCACTGCTGCCACACTGGTCGTCTTCTCCTGTATTTGTAGTTGTATGTGTGATAGAACATCCAAAACTTCTGCGAAGTCTAGGTCGTCAAGCTGCATCCTAGCTATCTGTTGTATCCCTCCAGATGTTGACTTCTTCATGATCCAGTTGATCACCAGGGGAAAGAGAAGGGGTGAGAGTAAGCAACATTGCTTAACACCGGTCATTACGTTGAGTGAGTCATAGAGTTGTCCACCATGAACGATTTGGCAGTTTAATTCATCATAGGAGTTCCGTATCATATTGACCATATTTTCAGGCATGTCTTAGTGTGGAAGAAGTCTCCATAGTTTTAGGCTGTTCGAGTTGATCAACAAGCTATCATTCTTAGATATATTTATCACCAGAACCGACACATGAATACTGGATACTCAAGTGCACAGGAATCCAAACCACACCAATGGAATTCTCAACTATAATAGCAACAAACAAAGAACTCACAAAATCAACTGTAAGATCCATTTTGAAAGTTTGTGTGTGAAAGTCCCTCCATGTATGAATTTGCAATTTCTTCTAAATGGTTACTTCAGTTTTACATATTGTTCATCCTATTGATGTTAATTGAGATTGTAGTGCTTCATTTCGTACTAGTTTTCTCAGTTTTTTTTTATGCTTTTACTGAGTTTTTATGTTTCTTATTGAAATTTATCTATGTTCTCTGAATTGATTTTATTCTGGCGGCTGCAATATTGATTGTTCCCTTTTTGATTGTGTTGTTTGATATGACTGAGATTGAGCATTTTAGTTGTGAATGGAGGCACTTTCCCAGAATCGGAATCACTTTGTGTTATAAAGAAACTTATTGATTGAATTTTTCACTTGATCTATCGAGGAAGGATAGAATAACACTTACTTTATGGATCGTTCGGTATTTCTTTAATATTTCTTTTAAATTTACTGTTTATTGTAATTTGTAATAATTATTGTGGGAGCTATTGTTGGCTCAATAACTGAGTGGTAATATTTCTTAAGGTAAAATTGCACATTTGTATATATGATGAAGTTTGCAACCGTTGTTAACACAAATCACCTTGTTCTGATTTCGATTGAGTCGCGCGTTAATAGATCTTTTGCTATGGACAGTTATTCTTCACTAAAATTAGTTTGAATTTTATATCAACTGCGTATAAACCTTATTCAAGAGAGAGAAGACACACTGCAACACAATGACAGCGCAAAAAATGAATAATACACCTAAAAACCATCTTTCAAGAGAACGCTATCCAATCAATCACATCAAAAAATACCAATCGCACACATCATCAGCAACGAAATCAAGTACGGAAAAGCAACCCTACCACTCATGAAAGGCATATCGGAAACGACAACGAGGCTGCTGAAAACCTTTGGAATAGGTTTTGTTCACAAACGAACAAAATCCCTCCACTCATTCTCATGCAAACCAAATGAAGAAATGAGAAAAAAGAACAAGACAAACATCATCTACAAAATAAATTGTTCCAACTGCGACAAACAATACATCGGACAAAGCGAGCGCCCTCTTCATCTTCGCCTACACGAACATCAATTAGCAGCCAAATGACATGACATTTCTTCACACATATCAATACACGTGAACAACTACGGACATATATTCGACTGGAGAAATGTGGAGATTTCGGAAGGAGGCAATTCCTAAAACAACAGAGAATTTTTAGATGCTTGGCACTCAGGTCAATCACCAATAATCAAGCACATTGAAATCAATTCAATTTATCAACCAATCAAGAATATTATGCAGAAACATAGGAACAAAAATCAAACCAATAAGAGATACAACCATAGCAAAGTAATAAACAATGACAGATTCAAGCTCAGTAAAAACCAGTCAATATCGAGGTGTGCAGGACAAGCTGTGAATCACATGTGAAGAAGTTCAAACACTTCACTTCTACCCGAAGTTTGTGCTGATGACGTCGTTGAGAACGACGATGGAAGCTCCACGGCCAAATCATACAGCTCAGAGAACAAACCTACATCAAAATCACTCACCTGAGCTACAAAATACTCTCCACCATCTCAAGTGAAAGTATATGAGGGATACGTACTGAAATGAATCTACTCGTGTCTATTTCTTGATAAACAGCAAAATTTGAAGGCAGAAAATAAACATGTTTTTCAACGATGTAATGAACTTTACGTATTTGTGCCACGTTTCCATCTGAAATGTGAGTATTTAGATGATTTCACCTCCGAACACGTATTCTGAAGAACAACAACACACCAGTGGTCAGTAGACCAATGGTTCGATGTTTATATCTATACGGAAATACGACCAATAGCAGTAGCGCTTAACTAAATTACTTGCGTCAAATAATGTCAATAATTATTTATTTCTGATTTAAAAAATAAACCCAAACCTATGCAGAACCAAATATATCAAACTCAACCAAATCTGTCAACCAGTATTCCGTTGAGAAAGATGATGATTTGTGGATGACAGACAAAAATTTCAAACGTATTTTAATCCAAAGACAAAACTACTACAACAAACTGAAAGCATGCGTTACATTTTAAACATGCACTGTCCGGATTTTGAGCAATTAACAATAAAGTGCATCATACCATATTCTTACGAGGTTTATGAGCAAACACCAACCTTGTCAGTACGTCTGATATGCACTCCAACTACAGGATCACCACTCGCTTTAAAGGTCTTCAAGGTTGCATTGATTAGTTCTGAAAATTTTGGCTTTGGACGCAAAATGTAGGCTGCCAGTTGGCCAGCGAACCAAACATAGGGTGCCTCATGTAAGCGCAATAATTCTTCATTCATATCTATCGGTAGAACATGTGGCAACCAGTTATGTGCTACGAGATCATGTATAATATAAGGACATTTGATGTTATCTGAAGTGGACAAGAGGACGAAAATTTATATTAAGCTTGAAAAATTGTACGTAAAATTGCGTTTCGAGTGTCCATCAATCTAAGATAATAACTGATTTGTGAGTCGGAAATTTACTCAGTTGTCAAAAGTGATTAAGCGAGATTTTATCAATAATAGAAAGAACAATGAAACTTGAAATTTCGCAAATAATACGATTTTTTTAACACGTTTTTTTATGTAAATAGTAAAGAACGCTATGTCGTTTGATGGATATAGTGAATAGTTTGCAGTATTTACAAGTGGTTAGTCAAAAGATAATTGAAAATGTTCTACTGAACAGTTCAATACAATCATAAAGGTCTGAAAATTACAACAAACCGATAACAAATATATCGTTTACAAACCTGATCTACCATTTGTGTCCTCATGACTACATTTTTCAGAGAGTGGAAGTGTGTTCTGATGAAGCCAGTCGTGAAAAATATCTCGGGAACGATAATTAGTCAATATTAAAACGCGTTCTTTTTCAAAAGCCAATTGAAGACAGAACATGATTTGATGCATTAAACAACCAAATCCACACATATTGGTTATGTCAAATGTCACATATTTGGCCATTTTGCAATCTGACGGATTCTATATATAGATGATTACAGGGTAAAATGCAAGTTATTCGATTAAATAATAATAGCAACACATATATAAATATCAGCTGGTGATGTTGTAATCAACTAGTTCACGTGACACCTTATTCATACAAAATATTCAACAAAATAGGACATTTTGTAGTATTTATATTTAGCATTCAATCGATAGATTGTTTCGTAGGTGACAGTACACAATGGTTGAATGTTGGTTCACAGAGAATTATAGAAAACCAGGAAGATATCGGATTTTTTATGTGTATTTTCTAACCTTTATGTATCCAACGCCGCCTTTGGTCCTCAGGAAGTTTCTACCGGTAACAAGGCCGAACGAAGGAGGAGAGTTGTGCATGTGGCTAGCGAGCCCATCCCGTGGAAAATTAACTCTCTAAAAAAGCGCTAACCAGAAAAAATAATTCAAGCCATTTAAACTCTACCTTTGGAGTTGAAGGAACAAAAATGGTGAAAGCTTTGCTAATCTATGTGTCTTTGATAAACTGGTTATAGGTGGCACTATATTACCACACAAACACATTCACATAAACACATGGACTTCACCGGACAACACTACGCAGAACCAAATCGACCATATCTGTATCACCAAAATTTTCAGGAGGACGATGAAGTATGTGTGAACAAGAAGAGGAGCGAATATAGCATCATATTATCACTTGCTGGTCGACAAGATGAAATTAAAACCTAAAAAGCACTGCACACTGGTGCGGAGAACATAACAAAAGTTTCATAAGGCTCTTCTTCGGGACGTCGAAAAACTCAACAAATTCAAGATTGCCCTCAACAATGAGTTCCAGGCCCTTCATGATCTACTCAATGGACAGGGAACTACTAGGGATAGTTACTGGAAAAAGATAAAAAATCAACCATGTCAACATGGCAGGAGGTTCTGGTTCACAAGAAGCACCCACACAATGAATGGATTACTGTTGACACTTTGTGGCAGATCTGACAATGATGGCGGAAAAGTCTGCATGAGTAGGAAACATGAGAAAATTATATGATACAACAAAGAAACTTGCTGGAAGTTACCATAAACTGAAACGACCAAGGAAAATCAAGGAGGGTAAGGTAATCACCAACATTGATAAACACAAGAACAGGTGGATAGAACTCTTCAAAGAACTCATGAATCAACCAGCTCCACTGAATCCACCCAACATTGAAGCAGCATTCTCGGAAAACTCAAACGATGTTGGCCCACCAAAAATTGAATAGATCAGCATGGCCATCGGACAGGTCAAGTGCAGGAAAGCAGCGGGATCGGACAACAACAACAACATTCAGGCTGATGCACCGAAAGTAAATAAAACAGCAACTGCAAAGATACACCACATTCTCTTCAGTAAGATTTGTGATGAAGAACAAACACCAACAGACTGGAAAAACGGACTTTTGATGAAAATATCAAAAACGGAGAATAAACTGTCAAATCGTTCATGGAGGACAACTCTGCGACTCACTCAACGTAATGACCGGTGTTAAGCAATGTTGCTTACTCTCACCCCTTCTCTTTCCCCTGGTGATCAACTGGATCATGAAGAAGTCAACATCTGGAGGGATACAACAGATAGCTAGGATGCAGCTTGACGACCTAGACTTCGCAGAAGTTTTGGATGTTCTATCACACATACAACTACAAATACAGGAGAAGACGACCAGTGTGGCAGCAGTGCCTTTCAGCAGCAGTGAGTCTCAACACACACAGAAGGAAAAGGAAGATGCTTCGGTACAACACAACATACATCAATCGAATCACACTCGACGAAGGAGCGTTGGAGGAAGTAAAATTCCTCACATATCTAGGCAGCATCATTGGTGAACACGGTGGATCTGATGTGGATGTGAATGTGCAGATCGGCGAAACAAGAGCAGCTTATTTACAACTGAAGAACATCTGGAACTCGAAACAGTTGTCAACCAACACCAAGATCAGAATTTTCAATACAAATGTCAAGACAGTTGTAATGTATGTGGCGGAGATGTGGAGAAATACGAAAGCCATCATCCCGAATAAACAGGTGTTTATTAACAGTTGTCTAAGCAAGATACTTCGGATCCGTTGACCAGACACTATCACCAACATTCTACTGTGTGAGAGAACAAACCAGATTCCAACGAAGGAAGAAATCGGGAGGAAGTGCTGGAAGTGGATAAAACACATTGATGAAAGCTCTCAACTGCGTCACAATGCAGGCACCGTAAATTGGATAGAACTAGAAAGAGAGGTCCAGGATAGAGAGAGTTGGAGAATGCTGTTGAGCGTTCAACGCTCGATTGTCCTTAACAGTCCTAAGAATGTACACATCTTTTGTATCTACGCCTAGACGAATAAAATACATGCCATTCAGGTGAACGACGTTATCTTGTTTCAGCTGCGGTGACTTATGGTGGATGAGTTGTCCAACTGGTGTCTAGTATCAAACAAATCAATTTAATACTCAATATAATTGTTCACTGCTCATCCTATGCAAAAGTTGTCACATAAGTACTTCAAGGGTAATCGAACGACATTTCGCAGGTCTAATTTATTTCCGTACTTTTGCAGAATCTCAAGAAGTTCATTTATTTTAAATTGGTTTAAAATTGATAGATTCCAACCTGTTGCTCTTGAATCTTCTTCTGTAATCTCTGTGCAAGATTATTTAGGCCAATCACTCTGATTTGTGAAAATCCATCCAATTGACCTAGTTTGTTAAGTATAATTTCCAAATGTAAAATAATATCCTCAACATTCTGTCGATAGCGAATTAATGATGCTTGCATAGATGAAACTGTTTTAGTGTCTAAATCCTTGTGATTCAGTCCCCGTAATTGCGTAGAAATGCTGTTTAGGTTCTTCAAAGTGTTCTGTGCTTCATGTATGTAATTCAAAGCACGCCGTCTAAGTGTTTCATGAGAAATACCAATCCAATTTTCATCTGAAATGAAAATATTCAAGTTGAATATTTCCTCTTATTATAAATTACATGCACATTTATACTAGTTTACGACAATGGAATATATCAGTCAAATCAATTACATTGATTCATCGCACAATCCTAACTAGTTATAAATCATATAATAATTCATGAGACACAAGTGCACAATGATTTTCTTATGATTATTGTTGTAGAGATAATCAAAATTGTTTGCTCCTGACAAGTTTAAGAAGCACTAGGAAGTATTTAATGCAATCAGCGTTTGACCCGTATTTCTGCTGGAAACATCACGAGAGTGAAAAGTCACATTTAGAGTTCTCGATTGACTGATTATTACTTATTACTTTCAATATGATAAATAGCACTCCACAATTTTCTGGAAAACCCAAGATTGAATGAAAGTAAGAATCATGATTAGAAAAACCATCATATATTTATATTCCTGACATAACACACTAAAGTCTTCTTCCAGTACCCACAAGCGCTGCTTGGATAAAAAAATAGTCAATCAGCATGCCTCAACGTAATACTCTACGGAACATGCTGTATTCCAACCTACATCCAGCTAAAACCTCCCGGCCGTTTCGTTCTATTAATAGAGTCCTCAGCAGCGCTTCTAGGTTTTCCGTGGCGGTCTAGCTTCAATCGACTGTTTGAAGTTGGGTTATTAATTCTAATTCTAGTGAGTATATTCTATATCGAACAATGTCTTCATCCATCAAACAGTTTAGCGAAAAAAGATAAGGTACGATTGATCGCAGGAATATGGATCATAATTTAAGCTGTGGCGGATCTGGTGTTTGAATGAACCAATGATTCTTTTGTGTTGATGACTGTTTTGATTTTAAATTCCAAATACAGTATATTAGTTCGCTCTCATCTTATACTGCTTGATTGAATCGCGTTATTCCTGACATTAGTAGTTTATGCTGTAACTCAAAAACTCTCAAACATCACAATAATCTCAGCATGTTTGAAATATATGATTCATACCACAGAGGCTGTTATTGGTGCTGTGGACTTAACTGACTGAGCGAGGCAGGAAGCAGGACCGATAATTGCACTAGACTGCTAGCACGAGTTTGATGCGTCACTGCTCCGATTGGTAAACCACTTTTCTCTAATTGGCGGTATTATCACGTTATACATTAGCACGGCATCCAGGCCACAAGTTGGAACACATTTCATATAAGTCACTCAGTTCACTTCATGCAACACATGATCCACCATTATTTATGGAATTAAATATGTATTCACTTTTTCATTTAGAAAATACTCAGATAGATCATGATACCATGTAGTGAAAAAAATACGTACGAAGTTGAATGGCTCTTGTTGTATCTACCACAAATCTCTATCAACTCACAAAATTGACATTCACAATTGATTGAACCAAATCCATAATCAAATGAAAATAAACGTAGGTTTTACCTACCACAAAGGATGAAATTGGTGTGAAGAATAGTGAATGAGCACGATAGTTTTCAAAGGGATAATTCCTGTACCTATCTCACGTAGATGCATATGCAGATATATTTTGCATTATGAGAAGAGTAAGATGAACTTGTGTAAATATTGTATGACCAAAGTCCATTATTTTACTGAACACAGCACTTAATAAAGCCACCATCACTTTTATTACGATTATTATTGAACAACAAAGAAAAAACCAACCTACTTGTTATCTGACCATTCCTGGTGGTTTTCATTGAGATGCGTTCACTGAAACACAGAAGTGAAAAGTTCATTAGTATTAACTAAGAAATGCTGTGTTTCGTATAAGTGTTGTTATACTGATATGAGTTGTTCTGCTGAAGCATAGCAACATAATTTTCATCGCACAGTGCCACCAAATGGCTTGGTAGCGTCAAGTGTGAGGAGCGCCTGCCCTCTGTCGAAATGCTCTCACACGGCCACACGTATACAGTCCCTACCAGCGAAAGCTTACCCACCGCTTTCTCGTGACGAAGGTGTTCTTTACAAAATTGACAGCACGAAAAGAGAATGTCTAGCTATTTAACCGGGCCGTTAGACAAGGAAAGTCCATCTAGAAGAGTTGGAAAACTGATTCCAAACCGGTGATGCACATTATCTCCAGAATCCTGAGGGATGAAATGGCGTATGAACAAACTGCTGGCCACCGGCTAACATGGGACTGTATCTCGTTACGATGCTTCACTGCCTTATGGAGCAGATCTGTAGGTCAATGGCTGGGGGTGTGACAGCATAAGAAAATCACCTGCTTCGGTCTAGGCACGCGGACAGTACAACAGCCCTCAAGCAAATCTAATGAGATGACAAGTACCGGAATACTAAATAACTAAAAGTGAATTTATTTCGGGCACAAATTTATACATTTGATAACGAAAACCACACTTTCAATCAATCCGTCATAAATAACTTTTCAACGCCATTTGAAATGTTAAATGTTCACAAAAAATTCAAATTTGTGTACGATGATCTAAAATGTGATACTTTTATTCACCTGAAGTCAAATAATCTACGAAGATGTGAAATCTGAGTTGGAACCCAATCTACTCCTTCTTTCGCAACTGACACATTATTATTCAGGCCTTTACAGCACAGGTCTGTTTTCGAGGATGTCTTCTTTCTGAAGTAATCTTCGACACAAAGCATTAAAACAGGCAATAGAGGTAACCATAAAACAACGGACAAATTGAATTCGTTTCTTGAATATCTGCACGAATGAATGAACAAACTATAAAAATATCTTACCTCATGATCTGGTATTTCGGCCTGCAAAAAATCCTGTACTTTACTTCTCAAATAGTGAAAGATGAAATTGTAACCCTCCCTTAAATATGTAGACAAGAAGTTTAAATAATGCTAAATACTCAGAACTTATGGTTATGAAATTTATGAAGGGTCGTCGCCAATTCGTTAAGAATTAATGTCAGGCTTTCTATCATGTAAACTATCCATCAATACAAATACGACTTGTATAATCTAAACACTGTAACAAATTAATGACGTTCGAACAGCATGATCTGTCCAGCCTTCTTATTGGTCCTTTATCAGCCTAGCACTTCCAATTGAGTGCAAAAACACCAATTACAGCTTCTGCTATGCAAATCATTCATTTCAAGCATACTTCGTTTATATAGCAGACAAAATGACAGACCACATCACACCATAAAATAGAAAATAATATTTGTACAAGATCGAGCGAAATGCGGCTGTGAACGTGAGAGACAATAATCAATAAACTGAATATAATCTGGAGACAGTAAATCGTATTATAATAATTCAAAGGTCGGAATGAGGCATATAATAAGATGAATATAGATATACGCAATATAAATACTCGACAGTTAAACAACAAGAATATATATAGAATAATTGTCTATTAAAAGGTTGTATGAGTTACCCATACAGATATCTTCACCAAAATATAACACTTATATTTTGTCTTTAAAATTTGCTCATCAGCAAAGCACTTAAAAGAGGCATTCGCAGTAAAAATAAACTCAAGACGCATCATAGTTTGCAGTGCTTGTATCTCAACACATTGTCAACACTCAACAACTCATAACGTTACCAGTATCAGCCACTTACAAATACGCAGCGTAGAACGTGCACAATAGTTACCTGTTTTGGATTGGCCACCGTGGTTTTCCTCTAACCTACTTCTACACCATCAATCATTATCCGCATTGGTGTCAGCATATATATTATTGAGTAAACAGATTTAAATATGAAATATAACAAGGCTTTCCAGTTTCTTCTAATGGGTATTAGCTAGGATCACATATTCACAAAAGAAGATTTACGAATCGAACGGTGAATAAATTTTGTAATGTAACGGTATTAAAAATCATTACATGCAACGTTACTAATCCGAATTTGTTTTTATTATTGCAAAGCAACAAAGAGTAAACGACTGGAAGAAGAGGAACAAGTTATATGCGATCTGAACCTGCAGAACAAGGAAGAAAACTTTTACGCATTAAGTTCCCCCTTTTGTACTCGAACCGTGTCTTTCGACTTCAAATACATATCTGTTGTGGAAGTACACCGTGTTCTTACTTTTCAGGCAGTTACCGGTCGTGACTATTGTGTCGTTGTTTCAGATCTCTCCCGATTCCAATTGAAAGTCAACATTTAACGCGCAATAGTATCTCTACTTAAACTTAGTGACAAACAACCTTTTTCCAGGTAAAAAAAACAGTCAATAAATTCTCATAAATAATCATGGCATCTATCCTTTTACAAATTCGTCGAACAGAAGACAATAATAGACACAATAGTAGTTATTCATACTCATCATACGTACTTACGTACTTAAGCCTGTGTTCCCTCACAAATAAGCGTAGGCCTCTCACAAGCATTCTCTATCCAACCCTGTCCTGAACAATCATTTCCAGTCCATTCCAGTAGCGATTCATCCCTATTATGTCTGCTTCCGATTCCTGACGCAATGTAATCCAATGTCTTCCTCTTTTTTGATTCCCCTCAGGATTTCAAGTTGGAGATTGCCTCATGATGCAGGTTGATTATTTTTTCAATTTGGGGCTGAATCATCTGAGAAGTCCAAATCGTCTGATTGATTCTGAGATGTCCAGTGTATTTTGCGCTTCCGCTCAGATGTCAAAGTCTTCATAATCCAGTCAATCAGAAGAAGAAAGAGAACGCGAGAGAGTCAGAAGCCTTATTGAAAATGCATATGTCACCTATCCTCCATTCACCACTTTGCATCACAGTCCGTCGTATGAACTCCGGATCACGTTGACAGTTTTCTCAGATACTCACACCATGCTGTCGAATAAGCTTCCTTAATATTCTGTTCTCCACACAGGTCTAATAAGTTTCACTGATACAAAGTACTACAAATGTGAATCTACTAATTTCCATTTCTATTTCACTGGTCTTCCCGGTCCATACCATGTAATGATTAGATGAGCAGGTCGACTGATGAGGAATTTGAATCCGTGAGCTTCATTTTAATTTGAATGACCGCAGCACTTTGCTTTTCAATGTTAACGAATTTTTTTTATTGGTTTATTGGCAATACCTGTTTGAAAAGCCTTTATGTGTCGTGAACCATCGTCTCTGCTGTTATGATTACTATTCTACCGTCTGATGCTCACTGGTCACGTAAACAGATAAATACAGATATTCACACATGACTGTCTCTAATAGTTTCCAAAGTTACGTTTCTATTATTCAAGCATCAGATATGATCTTCTACCAGTATACACTAGAAAACTTGCTGCCTGAAAAATATAAATAGTCGAACTCTTTTCGACACATTGTGATACTTGTAGTGCGAAATATTATCAACACATATAATCTTCAAGCTGCACAAACTGACAAAAAAACACACGAGAAGGGTTCAACGACAGAGAAAACACAGACAAAGACGCTCATGATAACATACCATGTGACATATGCTATCTTGCTCAACTGCATAGTGAGACAGCTGAAGGAAGCATTTGCATATTTTATCGCTGCAATAAAATAATTCATTCGTTTTGTGGTTGAAACCCACAACTGCAATACCATGGATTCCACTGTGCCACATATGGCGCGGTAACTGAAATGCACTGGAAGACATAACCATAGCAGAATGCATATCGCACAAAAACGGTACGTTCATACTTCAATGATTAATGGAAAATTTTGGTTCTTTCTTTCTGGCTATGACAGTTCAGTACAAACTTTTTCTATTTTATGCTATCACTGAAACGAATTTGCAAACCGTTAGTTAGTCCGCGACGATTATGGCTCGAAGTTCATTGTTGTTGACCAAACTTTGTAAGAATTAGAAGCTGTATTGTAGTTTGATCACAATCATCAATTTTATTAAATTCATTTGGTATTGCTTGCTTCGACTTTTCGTTGTTGTTTAGGACTGCAGTTGGTCAGTCTCTTATTGACTTATGTTTATACTGTTCGTATTGCCACGATATAGCCCAATACCACAAACATTATGAGCAAAAATGGATAGTGAGCTACAATTATTATTATTACTTTTACCAGTGATTGTTTTACTATACGTGTTTGTCCAACTGTAACAGAAACACTTTTCGTTCCGTTGCCTATATCTTTGTTCGAACTCGAGTACGCTCAACAGTTTCGTTTGTAAACTTTCGCACGTCTCGGTAATAAATAGACGCCACGAATTCGCAAACAATTATTTCTTATTGCAACCATTTAAAGCCTTATGTTTTTTGGTTTATCGAAGGATCCATGTCGATACCTGGCATGAATTCTTCATGTAGTGTTAATCATAGTGAATGTCGACTCGAAGCCTTCTACAAGCCCTTCAGCTGAATGTCCCTGTACCTCATAATTGATGTTCACTACACAACTCCAAACTAGTACTGTTCGCTTCAAACTTGATAGACGCTAGCTTGTGCAGATGGGTGAATTAAAAATTCACTTGATACTGTTTAATTCGATTTTTTTCATCAACATTACCTAGTGTTATATCAATGTCAACACTTTACGAAATCATGCGAATTACGTGAATCATACTATGTGATGTACGTTCATTGTGTAGCATCTTATTATGTCAACACAAAACATTTTCACGGGGGAAATACTTACCCTTGACGATCGGAAGTTACTGAACAGAATTTCTATTTCTAAATAACATTATCATCTCACGTTCGCATAGCAGTTTCATTTATAGATGAATGCGTAAGGGGAACTAAAATTCTAAGTTACTTTTGAATTTGATCAGTGCTCAACACAATGTAAACAATATTGATTTCAATTTAAATGGAGTTGAGCTGACAGCTAAGAATGACGATTTTGTCGCCTACTCAAAGTACTGTAATACATCATAGAAGTAAGAATGAATTAGAGCAAATACGTCAAAAAGATATGGAACACATATAACACCAAAAATGAAATCATATTTCATTTTGGTACATGTGTTCTAGAAAATATGCACAAAACTAATTCTCTTGTTCTCGATCCCTTTAGTATTGCGTCTATCATTGCAAAGCGTGCAGATTTTCTTTGAGTGTATTCCATCAGAATAAATACATGCGAATGACTGTCTTGAAATATTTCGTCCAAACTCCTTTGATTAATACCGAAGAACGTGACATCATCGATAGTCTATTATTTACTCTCAAGGTTATATTAAATTTGTGTAAACCGGTCGATATGTGATGACCTACTATGTGGTTTATCTGGTTTCATTCGACTTTCAATTCAACACACTTCAACTCCAAATTGCACTGTAGTTGTACGATGTATGCAAATAACAACTGTGGTTTGCTTTTTTTAATTGAAATTCGATAAACATACATTTATCCGTCATTTATCGAAAATGTATCTCAGTTTCAAGTGAGGTAGAAGATTTTCAAATGATTTTGTAAGGTGGTTCAAAAGAGAGTCGTTTCACTTTGTATTGATAATCAACTGTGTCTTAAATGAGTAGTAAACCAAAACGACATTACACACATTACAATAATCACTTTTGCTAAGTCCGTTTTCTGTCTCAGAATTGGTTCACAGGATAATGGAAAGAAGTGGAATTTTCTTGTTAAACAATGTTGACGTACTAATGAGATCTGAAACCGATATCAATGGTTTGCGCACAGGATTCGAGTAGCATTAGGTACGTTTGTAAGAAGAGCGTTGTTAGCGTCAGTACTGTGGGTAATAGTAAATCTTACAACAAGTATGTCGGAAAAATGTCTATCGCGAAAAAGGCTGAAAACCTTACAATAAGATTGGATGTCTCTCGAGCAACAAATACGAAAAC